ATTTTTTAAGGAGTTAATAGATTTTAAAGATCATCTATTATATCGGAGAGTTAAGACTTCCTGCACCATATAAAAAAAAAGGGTTTAGTAACTTATATCATCGGAAAAAGAAGATTAATATAAAAAAAAATAAATACATATTTATATGCAGATTAGTGATCACACGGTTTTATGTAGATCATTGTTATATGTAAGATAAGGGAGTAGAGAAATCACCACTAGTGAAATATAGTTATTTTCTTATTAAAATAAAAAAATATTATTATAGTGCTATAGTACCACAGCACTACCCTTACATAATCTGTTTGTTAAATAATATAGTACTATGATGTTATCTTTATATAATTAATTAAATAAACTTTTATAAAAAAAGTTTATATTTAATTTTTTATTTAATCACTCTATAGTTGATTTTTTTGCTTACACCTAATTTTTATCATTCTATTCTATTCATACTTGATTTTATTCAATCATTTTACATAGTTGATTTTTTTGCTTATATCTAATTTTCGTTATTCTATCCTATTCGATCATTTTATATAGTTGATTTTTTTTTGCTTATATCTGATTTTTGTTATTCTATCCTATTTGATCATTTGATACAGTTGATTTTTTTGCTTATATCAGATTTTTCATTATTCTATCCTATTCACACTTGACTTTATTCAATCATTTTATACAGTTGTTTTTGTTTACATTTAATTTTTATCACTTTATCATATTTATATTTAAATTTATTTAATTGTTTTACACTAATTCGTTTGTTATTTTGCTTGTAGTTAATTTTTGTCAGATTACTCTATTTATCTTACCTATACTTAACTTATATTTGTTTTGCTACTTTATCTTACACTTGGTTTTTCTATCATAATACACTATTTATCTATTTATTCAATTTGATTTGTCTTAGGACAGTATCATTTATCATCTGATTTTTTTTTATCAGAGGCTTACCCCCTTCTCCCTCTTACTATATATTTTGATCAGGTCTTTATATATAATTTTAAATTTTTTACCCCTCTCTTCCCTAAAAAATCACCTGATTTTTGTCATGTTTCTTACTATTTTGCATATACTTAGTTTTTTGTTGTGCTGCCTTATTTACTTTACTCACACTTGGCTTTTGTCTTATTACTTTATCTATATTTATTATATCTAAGCAATAGATAAATTTAATAAATTTGTTGTTAGTAATAATGCACTATATAAATTTGCTAGTACTAGCGTATTCACATTATACAACAATATCCAAAATGATTTTGTTATTAATAAAGTAGCTATGCATCATAATTGTGCTCAAACCAGAAACGTAGTATATGTAACTTTACAAACTTTTTTAACTATAGCTTTAATTTAATTATATTAAGAGAATTAATTAGTTAGTTTATTTAAATATTTTTATTTTTATTGATTCTACTTCTTTCTATTTTTATTTAATTAATTTTTTTCTTATTTTAGTTTGTTCTATTTTTATTTATTTTATTTTATTTTATTTTATTTTAGAAACAAAAAAAAATCGTGTATAGCTTTGTTTGATATACATGCTGTGCCAATATTTATCATTTAAAATGCCTTTCTTGATGCTTCAAAATCAATTACTGTAAATTTTAATAAATCATGATTTAAGAATACTACTTTGTGAATAGCTATATACAGTACGTACTAGAGTTGCTAGTGAAACTAAATTGTGTTAGTGAAACTGATAACTATCTAAATTCTGATTGGCTATTGAGTACAATAGCCAATCAGATTTTAGATAGTCACCAGTTTTACCAGCACAATTTAGTTTCACCAGCAACTCTATACGTACTATTTCAATAGATCAATTCAAATCTGTCTATAATATGTTTCAATTCAACATATTCATTCATACATATAATATACATTTGCATACATACAAATTTCATTATTATACATTTAACCATCACCCAATTATATTATTAGATTTGCATACTTGCTATTCTAGTTAGCCGTTAACCATACACTTCGTAATTTTATTACTACGTTCCTGGTATAACATCCTATACAATTACTCAGACGAATTTGATGTTAGTAATATCTTGTATAATACTAATCAAACTAGAATGAAGATGATAATACGATAAATTGTGAAGATACTCAGCATAAGAATGTAATAGCAGATAACAGATTTCAGTTGATAAATGAAGATCCTCAAAGTAAAGAATTATAAATAAATATGATATTCTGTAGCTAGAACTACGTGAAAAATGAAATCAAAAAATATAGGAAGAGAAAGTGATTTAAGATATGTTGCTATCATATTGAAAAGAATAATGACTGTATTTAGAGATGTATATTGGTATGTAAATATTATAGAAAATCTAAGACTACAAAAAGCAAGGACTCGAAGAAGAAAACTACTTCTAAATATATTAGATGTAAATAGCAGATAAATCTCTTATATTCTGAAAAAAATAATCCTTATAAGATCATATATATTACAAAGTTAGTTGATGAATATTTGAATCATGATTTTGACTATAAGTATTTTGATTTTTAGAAAAATTTAGAGTTTACTATAAATATGATTAAGGATATTAAATTTTATATAACAATAATAAATTATAGCCTTCAACAAATATGCAAAGCTCTGGAAAAAAATTATTCTTTAAAAGTTTATATATTTGTGCTGTATTGGGTAATTCAACGATTTTGACCCAAAAAAAATGATTAAACAAATGATACTAGCTATTTATACAAAGAATTGCTAAAAAAAAAAAACTGATCCATGATAGTATGTTGAAGTAGACTGGAACCCTTACAGTAAATGTCTTTATCGATTATTTTATATGTCTTCTGAACAAATTGAATAGTAGTTGAAGTTTGGAAATATTATATTAAATGTCAATACTGCTGCTACAAATCATTATGAAATAGTGCTTTCACTTTTTTTAGTAGTTAACAACTATTTATTTTCTTATTTGATAGCTCAGGCTTTAACTGATGATGAAACAAAAAAGGCACACATCTGAATATTGCAACAAATTAAAAAAGCAACTTTTGAAGCTAATCCTCATGTTATCTTTACTGATGCTAACCTTGCTTTAATTGCTGCAATATGGAATAAGTTTCTAACAACACATGCTCTCCATTGTATGTTTCATATTACACAGAATCTTTTCCTTAATTTAAAAAATATTTTTAGGAATTGTTATAATGAATTCATCAAAGATTTCTTCGAAGTACAATGAAGTAGTTTTATAACAATTTTTGAATACTAGTAGAAATATCTACTTGAAAAGTATAATAATAATAATGTAATTAGTTACTTACAATATGTACTTTATATTAACAAAGAATCATAGGCAAAAATATTTGTGCTTAAATTGTTTATAGCAGAATGTCTTCAACTTTTTGAGTTGAAAACTATAACGCAAAGATCAAAAGATTAATAATTCTCAAAACTGTTCTAACTACAATAGCTAATACTATCTTACTGAATGTTTATAATATGTTGTGCAAATATCTTACTGCTAAAATATTAAAGATCTAAAAGAATCAAATAAAACAGGTACTTTATTACCATAGTGTAAAAATAGAAAAATATGTTGCAAAAATTCGTCGCAATAAATTGTTATTTTTTAAAAGTATTAACTGTATTATTATTACTGTACTATATATAAATTTTTTTACATATACATATATAGGTTGATTTTGATAATCCTATATTATTTGATAAAAATTCAAATTTTACTAATATCATGACCAAGTCAATGCTTAATCTTGTTGAGAAAGATAAAATTGTAGAGATATGAGAAGTTTGACAAATAACATCAAATGAAATAAGGTATTTTGTATTTCTTTTAGATAATAGAGCTTATTTATATTCTTGTTTTGATCACTGCAATCATAAAATCATTTGTTAGTATTTTTTTTAGATTGCATTATGTACCTAGACTGTGATATTCAATATTTAGCTAATGCGATCATGATGGTATAATAATAATGTAACTAATAGCTCTACAGAAGAACTATTCTTAGTTGTACAAAATTTAAAATAAAAAAATCAATAACAATAGGTTGGAATGGTCTAGTTCTTTATCTTAATATGCTAGTTAAAGAAGTATATGATATAAACAACAAAGTAATTGATGAATGAAAGCTATATAGTGAGGCTTGAGGCAAAGCAAAAGCAGCATTAATAGTAGCAGTTCAGAGAAATAATTACAAATTTATTACTATTTTTGATAAATATATAAATGATTATCAAGAGCAATCATTTAATAGTGATGTAAATTCAAGTAATTCAAGTAGTGAATATGAAATTA